AATTAGATAGAATATCCAAAAAAACAAACCCAATTAGAATTAACAATAACATTTTTTTAAAAAATGATTAAAATTAACAATAATATATCATTTATTTTATTTTGTTCAGGCCAGGCTGGCTTGCTGGAAAAGCCAACTTTTTAGGGTGCATCGGAAGGACCGGAGGTCGGGGATTATATGAAGCTCCAGGGGCAGCTCATTCCAGAGGGAAGGCGCTCCCACAGGGAATTTTTATCTTTTTACATGGTTTTTTCACATCTGCTTTGCCTCTTTTGTCAAAGTTTTGCTGATGTTAAATCCATCAATATTTCTTTTTAAAATACTAGTAACGTGCCTTTGTGTTCAGAGCTTCAGTTATAGAAATGACCCAGGATCAGAAATTGTCTTCCTCTTGGATGATTTTTTAAATGTACCATCATACCTTATAACCCTGGAATTTTCTGATGGCCTCCCATGGTAATGGAATGCATTAGTGGTCTTGAGGAAATAGAAAAAGAGATGCTGCCTAGTAAAAAAAAACAGGCAAGAGAGACAGGAGCCCACAAACTCTTAACTGTCATAGAAAGAAACAGAGATAGGATCCATCCTAATGGATCAGGCATTTTAAAATGGCGGATGGGAAATTTGTACTTTCTGATTTGCAAGTTTCTGTTAATGTAGCCTCAGGATAAAGTAGTTCATCTAGTCCTGTTTCCTGTCTGGTTTATCAAGGAGGGTCGACACCCATCCAATTACTAACCAGGTCTGAATCTGTTTAGCTTTGGTGGATCAGCCAAGGTTGACAGCCATGCAAATCTGCAACTAACTTAATGATTTATAGGTAAGACCTAAGCATGCAGTCCATGTTCAATTAGCATGTTTTTGTAAAAGGATCTTGACAGCTTGCTTGCATGGATGTCAGCTTTTGGTTCTAATTACACAGTATATGTTACCTGGATTGGAAAGACTGAGAGCCTTGGGGGATAGTTTCTATGGACCACTGCTGCTAAATATCTCCCCCACCGATGGTTGACTTCTTCACAACCACTCCCTGGAACTCAAGCATAGTGTCTTTCTTGGACTGAGCTTCAGGCTTTAAGCATGTTCAGTAATATCCTTGACTTATTCTTGGGGTTGTCATCCTAAGTGACATTTCTGGCACGTACAACTGGTGGGACAAAACTGATAGGCCACGTTTTCCTCTTTAAAAAAAGAGGGAAACATATAAACACACAAATACAATTAAAATGAATTAAAACAACTTTTGAAATTATGCCAAATTTAGATGACAGGAAAGGGCTGTGATTTTAAGATACATCAAATGATAAAGAGCTTCTAGAACCCACTTTCTATCTCTTCAGTACTGGGATTTAATAATAAACATATAAATATAACATAGTTTTATTTGTTAAGACTATTCAACAGAGAAGAGCTATGATACTGGTTGACTGTGGCAGATTAGTACTAAGGAGTGGGATGAGGAACCCATATGAGCAGGTGCATCTTAATTACCTCAGGATCACCAATGACCTATGTAGGCTATTCCTCAGTACTGAAGAGCAATAGCAATAGCAATAGCAGTTAGACTTATATACCGCTTCATAGGGCTTTCAGCCCTCTCTAAGTGGTTTACAGAGTCAGCATATTGCCCCC